CAATGGGCGGCCTTATTACTAAGAGTAATTCCTTCCAGGCAACCTTTGGATGGATTAAAAAGAAATAATTTAGGAATAAAGGTGTGTGTTAACTAAATTAATGAAAAAGAGAAATACTTATCTACAATCATAATTCATAATAATAATTCCTTTTTCGCACATAGATTGCGAAATTTTCTCTTCCCATATATATTTATAATAAACTAGTAAGTATTTACGATTATAAAAACAGCTCTATTCGGGAATTGAGAAAATTAGTGAAAACCAGGCTGGAAAACTGGAGTTACGAAAAATCAGAGAGTTTCATTAAAGTTGTAAAATGAGATTTTATTTATCATTGGCAATTTTAATATCGAAAAGTGAATCTAGTATCCACAGACACACATTCATTCACAAACGCCCGCACGCACACATACACTCACGCACACGCTCGCACACACACACGCATATGTACACGTAACACACACACACATGCACACATTCGTTTATAACTATTCATCATTAATATTATTGTCATTATTACCACATCTTTGTTTTTTATAATTATGTTTAAACGTTTCTAGATTTTCTTTTAATTTTTTTAATTTCTCTTTTTTTTTCTGTTATTCTAAGTGGTTCAAATAATGTTTACCGTCCGTGTGCTGACACTAAATTGTGGAAATCATTAACTTTCCCCATAGGACAGGCTGCGCCTAGTGTGGGGGTAAGTATTGTATCTATTTTCTTTTTCTTTTCATTAATACAAACAATCATAATATAACAAATAATAAATGTTTTTTTTAACCATATCTCAATTATTAAAATTGTTATTTATTTGTACATGGTTTGCTTTGGCGGTACTTAGAATTGCAGAGCACTGGCATCTGTTTGTGGAACAGTTTTTTTGCAGCTGCATCTCATAAAACTTTGGCCTGATCTGGCGGTAGCTGCAGTCCTTAACGATATTTCAGAGCATTGGTTTACATCAGCTACCTATAAAAAGAAATTGCGAGCGAGGAGCGGTGCGGGGCGTGATTTGGGAACTTCCGATGTTGTACATGACATATTTGCTCAATTACTTTCTTTGCTTAAACTGTTTAGACTGGGCTATACCAGTTTATCCTAGAGTGTGCGTATTTATATCAGGAACAACTAGTTTGGCCTAGCCTAAACTAGTCTATCCTACCGGGCTTAGGACAAATTATTTAGAACTAGCCTAAACTGGTTTATACTATCGGGCTTGGGCTAAATTAGTTTGGACTAGGCTAAAAAACTAGTTACTCCTATTGCGTACCTATAGGAAGAACTAGTTTAGCCGAGGCTAAACCCGTTTATCCTGAAATCGAATTTGGCCGGTAACATATACAAAAATTCCATCGTTATTTAGTCCTCTAGTAGGTCTTTTTGACGATTACATTCTTTGCAATGTAATTTAAACGGAACACGTGTAACGATGTATTGATAAATTAAGTGTGTAAGCATATCATTTACTTTGGAGTTACTTTTTTTATTTTATCTTTTTGACGTTTCGAAGTAAACAATGTTGCAAAGTATTTTACCGTCAATAGATTAACTTTCAAATTCAATAAAATCTTAAGATTACAAATCTTTCAACCACAATTCTGTCGAAGGGTGATAATAATTTTTAGCATCCATACGTATTAAAAGTTTTAGGGTGTCTTGTTTCAATTGCCACTGCCTTATATAAGAATCAGCGTGTATTCGTTTAATTTTTATCATCTATAGTAAGTTATTAAACCAATGACACGATTGTATCGAACCTGTTTAGATTCAACTATTAAAGAATATTGTCACTCAAATGACTGTCGTCGGTAGTAGTATTCAAAACCGACCAAGTGCGAGTCGTACTCGCCCACGAAGGGTTTCATACCATTATCTATAAAAAGTGAAAAAAAAAAAATCATGTCTGTTGCATGGGAGCTCCACTTAAAAATTCTTTTATTCCGTTTTTCAGTTTATTTGATGTTACAGCGGCAACAGAGATGCATCATCTGTGAAAATTTCAACTGTCTAAATATCACGGTTCTTGAGATACAGCCTGGTGACATACAGACAATAGACAGACAGACAGACAGATAGAAAGACAGACAGCGGAGTCTTAGTAATTAGGTCCCGTTTTACAGTCCCATTGGTTACAGAACCCGAATGATAATTATTTATAAAGATAATTATATGATAATTCTTTCCAGAATATTGAATTAATTCCTTAACTCAGGAGTGGGACATAGTGCCACCTGACCTGCTCGTCCAGCAATTTCCAAATACAACAAAGAGGTTGTTTATAATTATTTATTATGGATATAACAGCAGATTTATGCGTTAAGAAAGTAAATCTCGTGAAAGAAGATCACGGCAGTGACCCAAAACTTGTTCACATTATGGAAAGTAAACGCCTTAGAGTAAAGAAACATCGAAAAACGAAAACCCATGGCGAGTATAGATAGATAGTAAAAGGGGAACATCCCAGAAGAATTCAAAATGTAATCGCAATGCAGGGATTTCAGGTCCAAGGTCGTCTGAAGCTAAAACAGCGATGAGCAGCGAAGTGACGTGAAGGAAACATGAAGATGAAGATTGTCCCGTGAGCGTCAATACTAAATGTATTAATGTCGCAGATTTTGAGAGAGTCTAAGCATTTTCATCTTAGTTTCGCAAAAAATCTATGTTTGTTTTTGTCCTTAAATAGTGAACAGTCCCTAAATTTGCTGTAGGACAATGACATCGATATTTTAAAATTAATATAATAAAATTAATAATTAAAATTAATATATTAATAAGTGTAAGGACACACAAGAATCAGTGTGCATTAATTTAATCCATTAAAAATAAACGATCTTTTATAAAATTGAAAATCATTTAAGAAGTGACATTTCTCTTGCACTGTCTATAATTTACTATAACTCCAATTAGTTTGGTTTAAATATTGACTCGATTGATATAAATTCAATCTAAATGAAATACGGTTAAGTAGAGGCTGTTTTCTTAATGATTCTTTTATTACTTTCGTATATTACTTTCGTATACCACACTAAGTAGCAGACTCTGTACATATATATTACTAGCGACCCGTACCGGCTTCGCACGGGTGCAATGCATTATACACATAAACCATCCTCTTGAATCACTCTATCTAGTAAAAAAACCGCATCAAGATACGTTGCGTAGTTTTAAAGATTTAAGCAAACATATAGACAGACAGCGGGACGACTTTGTTTTATACTATGTAGTGATTATGATATTTTACTCAGAGGAAACTATTTTGCAAAGAAAACAAAATTTTTTTTTTTTTTTGAAAAAATATTTAATATAAATTTATTCGACAACCCATTATTTCATCTTTATTAAACAACTAGCAATATTTAGTATCCACGTTTTACATGTATTTCTATCTAAAAGTACCTTAAATCTTAAAACACATGCGGCTTATTATAGAAAAGTGATTTATACTTTTACATTAAATATATTTACAAGAACAACAACAGTATTTGACAGGCACTCTGGTAATAATGAACTAATGGCTTCGAGTACATTATTGTATGACTATTAATTGTTTTGTTTTTGCTAGTTTAATTTTGTTTAAATAGCTTTTAGCAACACTTATACCTTTACAATGAAAATTAAAAGAGAATGTACGGTTATTGATTAAAGCGGAATAGATTTTAGGCCGATCACACGTGTTACGTTAGGGGCCCGCAATTAGAACAATATTAAATAAAGCTTTCAAATAATAGTTCAATTAACAATTGATTATTCAGCGGAATATGCAGAACTTGATAAAAGTGTTAGTTGAAGATATACAGCGGGTATCCGCGACAATAAATGAACACACATATAGAGGATAACTTTTTAAAATTGTATTAAGCATATACATTGTTTAAATTTCACAAAACAAAGATTTTTAGAACACCCTTACGTATAAAACTAAAATACGTTACAGCGTAAAGTTCATTTGTAAAGGTCACAAAGCCTATGAATGGATTGAATGAATTTAAAAGAGATAAAACATACTGTTAGAAGAAGAGACTTGTAATGCGACGTTTTGGCAACGAATGAAAAATCTCTGAATGTGTGAATCAGTCAGTTGTAGTTGTATAAGATGTTAAAAATTTTGTTTCTTTTTTATTTAATTAGTTTGTTTGAAAAATATATTTTTTTATTATGGATTTTTTAACGTTTTATGTTTTTTATGATTATTGGCAAGTAGCGTTAGACGTGTATTCATTTATTTTCGCGGTTGTATCGACACCCTGTATATCGATTAGGAATGGAAGAAACATAATTATATCATATGATCATTAATTTTAGGTAGAAAATATAGATCTATGTGGAAATAGACCATCGCGGATATTGAACAGTAATATATTTTAAAATACCTAACATAAAGTATTAAAAATTGTCTTACATTGAAACATCTAATATACAAATTGAGAGGTGGTCATAATAATTTACAATATCTCAAACTGAACATTTTAAGATATTTCGCAATTTTGCAATAAACTTAATTAAAGTTTTAAGAGTAATAAGTGCTCTATTTAATACTTTGTTATTAAAGAGACTTTAAAACACTTATTTAAATAAAACACTACATGGAAACAATGAAGACTACATTAAACACCAATAGTTTTATTCCCTTAATTAATTGATATCGCTCTGAGTTGCGATAATTTTTATTTGGGATATAATGAATCAATTAGTTTTGACACTCAAATTAAATAAAACTGTACAAAAATTTTTGGAGACTAAAATCATTATAAATGTAGTTTGAGTATTGAGTTACGTCTAAAATATCAATATTTATACAATAGTAGCATTTCAATTCTCTTAACACAGAGAGACAGGTAAGGTTATCTGGAGACATTTGATATTTACAAAATCACTAATATTTACACAGCTAATCAATAAATCACAGCTCCCGATTGAAAATTCAATTTCACAACATGAAGTACGACTAGAAGTAGACCTTCAACCGTTAATACTAAATAAATAACGAGCTCACACTATTGGCTGGTGATGACGTCGGCCCGCAATTGGTATGTGACCCTTTTCCTGCTCGCACTCCTAACAGACTGGCGGCGGCTCTCGGCCTCCAGGCTGACCTCGCTGACCGATTCGGAGTCTGGGCAGTGGGTGGTGTTCTCGCAGGCCGCGTGTCGATCGCCATAGTGTATCGCATCGAAGCCGGTGTCCATAGTCCGCATGGGGTAGGACTCTGCGTAGCGGTCGCCGCCCCGTCTGCCGGAGCGGCGGTCGCGGCATCAGGAGCAGCGGGCCCTCGGCCGGCAGGTGCCCGCGCGGGCTTGCTGTCACAAACGGCACATCTCGTGCTGCGACACCGACGAGTACATCATCGTCGACAGCGGGTACTGAAAGGCGGACGCCAATTTCAGGCTAGGGGTATATATAGTTATGAAAATATCAATAACGGCCTAGGCATATCGAAGAGAAAATATCAGATTTATCGATATTTCCTCTTTTGATATTTACTCCGTTATCCGAAAAAGAATGTATGTCGAGTATTAAATATTTGACTCTGAAAAAATATGGATTTTCGATATTAAATATTTTTATCGATATATCGGATCCAAATATATCGGCTAAAAATATCGATATCTTTTCACCATCCCTATTTCAAGCTCGAAGTATACTGAGAGGACGGGCACAGTACTTGGGAACTGGCAGGGGAGAAATGTTGTGCCATGAGGTACTGTATGCATCTCAGCATACGTTTAAAAGAATAATTTATGGCAAGCCTTGTAACATCAGTCAATGTAATTAGAAGGTGCATATTGGAAAACCGCGACATTAAATGATAACGGTTTTAGTTCCTGTTTCGTTTAAAAAATAAATGTACTGATCGCTCGTTTATATGTATTAAATACAAATAAAACAGTGAAATAATTAAGAATAATAGAAAAATCAATAGTTAAATGAGCAGACATGCAAAAAAAAAAAAATAAACAAACGAAAGAAAGAAACATGTAAAGGAAAATAAGGAAAAGACATTCAAGCGCGTGTTGATAAAGATTGGGAGGTATTCATGCACTTAGCATAGAAACGTGACAAACGTGACACAAATTTGCAAAAGAATATTGGTATGTGTAAATATTTTAGATAAGGTTCTAAACACTGATGCATATTTTAAGTTTAGCATAAAGTACAGACATAACTTCACATATAATAAAAGTGGGAATATAGGACAGCAAGGATAACATTAAAGTCAATGTGCGATAGATGTATTAAATCAACACAGTCATGTACACATACCTCTTCTATTTGCTGTGTTATCAATTTGTAACCACCCGGGCTGGCAAACCGTCCTCAAAGTTATATTTAGACAGGAGATTGTTATTAAATCTCGCCAATGATTCAAAAGATTCATTACAAATGGTACAGAGACATTAGTAGAGAAAAAAACGCAAAGGCACTTGGAAATAGAGGATAGATTACAACGAGTTCTTATGTTGTTATATGTAAGTTTGTTCACAAGAGTTTTGCCTAAGTTGCTGAATGCCCATAAGTTCGCTTGATGAGTAATAACGGCGGGTCGTTCGTAACTGAAATTAAAAAAAAAACAAAATCTTAACGTAAAAATCAAAAGGTAAAATTAAAATTAATTCATCTTACTTACTTTACTTTCACTTTTTTTATAAACATTGATCTTAATCTAGGACAAAATTATCCTGTGCTGTAAGAACGTTTTATTAAAATAAATTTCTCGCAGACTTACACCCAGATCCGAAATCATTGTGTGTGGGCCACACAAAAGTTGTCCCGTGTGGAGATCGCGCCCACCACCTCTGTCGCCAAAGTCAATACCTTGGCAAGTGTGCCACAGAGTAACCTAAATCTTAAGCTTAGGCATACCTTATCCATCAATACGGAATGCTCGTTCAACCTACCTGTGATTGTTTAAAGCGCAGCTGCGGTTGGTATTTCCTGCGAAGCTTCCGAGGGCAACACGTACATAAGATTCTTAGAAACGCCCTGTAAAAAGATACGTATTCATTACATTTTCTTCTTTTGATACGAACCACGTATATTTAAAAACTTAACAGTATCTACGCATCTTGTTTTTGCTTTATTGTAATTCTTAAGTATCCAGAAATACGAACGGAATAAAATTATTTTTTAATTTTCGAAACTGACATCATAATTCACAAAAGCATTGCTGGTCTAACAATTGAGTCATCTGTATAGGACGTTTGGTTGCGATCCCCATTCTGAGTCGTAACGACCCATAATTTATGACAAAAATGTATGCGGGATAAAAAAAGTATTTTTAGTTTCTACTAAAAAAAATCTCACATTCATTTTTAACCCATCAAACCCTTACTTTTAAAGTGTGCTATAACTTATATGTATATTAACCATTGATCTTATCAACCAATACATAATCTGCGCAATTTTAAGGTATTTTTTAAAAATAACATTTAAGCAATACATAATGTGAGCAATTATAAGGTATTTTTTTAAAGTAACAGTTTACTGTAAAGGGCAAAAACAAATATAAGCGCAGCCTCCATGGAATATCGTTATTGGGAATATATGCAACATTTGACCTTTCTTTGAAATGTTCGTATCTCTATTTACTAGCTGAAATTATTTACGTGTGAGTGATGCTATCTAAAGTGGCCCATAAAAGTCAGACCTATTCTTTGTAGTATTCAAGATAAAATCTATAGACGCTTTTGTATAGACCTTAGGTCTCAAACGTTTTCTATTTATAGATTCGCTGGCTTCGTACTTCCAACAGATTATTCTGTGAAAGTTCTTGTTTCGATTGAATGGTCTAATAGTCACCGTTTATTTACAAACATAAAAATGTAATTCTGATCAATTCCTTCATTAGCTTTGTGAATATTATGGCATCGTTTTGGGGTGACAGAATGTTTCTCTTCTAATGATAACGACATATATAATAAATAGCGCTATATTGTATTTACTCGTACAAAAAATATGTATTGCTGTTAACAAACTTTAAAAAAATATATATTAACCTTCTGAAATCCCTGCTCCAGCACGCGTAGATAACCGGGTTCATCGAGGAATTGACCCAGCCGAGCCAAGTCACCACCACGTTGACTATCTCCTCGTGGGTGATACACGACGAACAGATCCCCGACAGTAGGTTCACCACGAAGAACGGCAACCAGCACACTATGAACACGCCCATCACAATGCCTAAAGTCTTTGCCGCCTTCTTCTCTTTTGCGAACTTTGCCAGTTTGCGGGACAAGGAAAAATTTTTCGGAATGTGTTTCGCGTGCGTCACGTTCGTTAGACGCGTCGAGGATCGTGATAGACCGTTGTTCTGCAACGCCGTTAGCGGCTCTTGGTCGGTCTCGTCGGGAGTGCAACCGCCGTGGCAGGCATCCGCCCTTTGCCGCATAGTGCCCCCTCGATGAATCCTCAAGGTCAGCTCTAGTTCGCCGCTCGGTCTCATCACCTGCTTCGTGCCGATCTTCAGGGACCGGGTCTGAATCGTCGCTGCCCGATATATACGATAGTACGTGAACACCATTACGAACAGCGGAAGATAGAATGATATGGTGGATGAAAATATTATGTACTCCAAGTTTTCCGTGAACGGGCATTTGTAATCCGGCACTTCCTCCAAGCGAACCGCCCGCCACCAAGCTATTGCTGGAAAGGATATAGCCCCGGAGCATACCCATACAGCTGCTATTAGAAAGGCGGCCTTCCGCCCACTCATGCGCATCGGATACGTTATTGGATCTGTGATAGCCCAGTAACGATCTAGGGATATAACACACAAGTTTAGTATGGAAGCGGTGCTAAATAAGACATCCAAAGACCTCCATACGTCGCACCAGTCCATGCCGAAGAACCATGTGTGCTCAAGCACTTCGTACAGCGCCGAAAACGGCATCACTACGAGGCCGACTAAGCAATCAGCCACTGCGAGGGATGTGACGAAGTAGTTTGTTGATGTGTGCAAATATCTTTCACGAACAACCGCCATTATAACAAGCATGTTTCCAAATACAGTGGTAAGCGAGAACAGTAGTAGGAATGTGACGAGGAGAGCCCGGTCCTGCAGCAAGTGGATGTACTCATTCCAGAGCTCGACAGACTCGTCGGTGCCATTATATGTAGAACTGTTGTCGAACGTAACATTAAACTCCAATCCAGCGTTGTAAGCCGCACCTCGAGGTGTGTATACGTACTCTGGTCCTAATTGAGATATTTCTAGTTGGCCCTTTGCCACCAATATGTCCAGTTCGGAGGCATTCATATTTTTAATGTTGTTATTCGCTCTCTACCGCCATGGCCTATATTTATATTTCCCTTGTTTTGTCCGCAGCCATTTGTAGATTATATTTTTGGCAGACATTGTACTCCGCAATTTCAATTTCAATAGCATTTTCCATTAGCATATTTTGTTTTCTTTTCGAAATACTCGCTCCCTGAAACAAAGTAAAAAAAAATGTTTTTTATTATTGCATCGGAGACTAAATTTAAAATTTCTTCTTTATAATAGTAGAAAATTTAACCTGTTTTGTCAACAGTAATATGGTCATTTATTAGGTTTATTTTATTTTGATCATTTACAATAAATACCTCCATGAAGCCATGGACATTTCTGCAGCTCCATGACCATTGAGCATACAATAAAAACCAAAAGATCAATAAAGAACCGAATAAAGAAACACATAGCTGACGTGAAGCAACGACGGTTAAAGAAGTCTGCAGTGTGTAATCATAATATAGACCCCCCAAAACATTACATTAGGGTGCCTAACCTCACCTAACCTAACCTAACATATTCTTATAGCTTAACTCTATATAGCTTTAATTGTCAATTAAATAAAAAGTTTTGAAATATAAATAAATATACGTAATACTCGTATATGCACGACGCATTATCTTCGTATTTGCTATCTACATATCTGGCAAATCGCCAATTAAGGGTGTGTATCAATTTGGTAGCTTCTATAAATTTCATTCTGCTGATAATAATCTTTAGAAGGGCCTTTATTGGGTTGTAAGGTAATTGTATGTTGCGATCAGATCAGTGTAGAAAACTGATCCCGCTCATAACACCAATAAAAACAAGGTCAAACACATACTACTCACAGAACTTCAATCACAAAACGTTATATTGATTCGAAGAAATTTATTTTATTACCCAATTGAACATAATATCGGTTTATAACACATCTGAAGATAACGTAACTATGTTAGTAATGTCTTATTAAAATGTGTGTTATGATACCTATTGTCGGAATACATAGTTTTTACTTTTTATTCGAGAGTTGATTTTAAGAATATATAAACAATAAGATACGTAAACTTAACGCAATAAATTGTTTATAATGCAACTTATGTACTGGTCGAAAATACAAAACTAAGCGATAAGTAAAAGACAGATATATATAACCGATTTATGTATTAATATGTGTTTTCGTACAAAATATGACACATATTATTGACTATAGGGGGAAAACAAGTGGAATATAATTAAAAAAACTAGAAAACACGACTGCGTTTCTGTCAAATTTTTAACCGACTTCAAAAAAGAAGGTGGTTTCTCAATTGGACTGTACATATTTTTATTTTTTTTTGTGTGTGTTCGCGGTTAACTTCTTCGCTTATGAACCGATTCTGTTCTTTTTTTTGGCGAGGAGATATCCCAAGAGTGGTACCATGAAATGGAAACCCGGATCTGATGATGGAATCCCAGAAAAATCGAGGGCAATCCTCAAAATGTTAAATGTATTAACGATGTTGTTTTAGTTTCCTGTTTGAAGTCGGTTTTTCTTTTTCGTTAAAAAAAATGGACTTGTTTATTTTGATATACCCAGTGTCACTCTCACAGTAAATACGATTCTAATGACATCTCTCAAGCTAAAATCCATCAAGCCGTTCAGCCGTTTAGAGCGTGCCAAAAAATTATACATACATACATACATACGTACTCTCGAAAAACATAACCCTCCTTCTAGCACAGCGGGGTAAAAACGTAAATCGCTAACATTATAAATTGCATAGTTTACCATCATCAGCATATTCCCTTTTCGAATCTGACGTAAATAGCGCTTAGTGAACAGGCGGAAAGATCAAACAAATTGTGTTCTATGGGTCGTGAATAACCCCCTCGCATGAGGGATCCCGATCCGATCTCCTTTCGTCGTATACTACTTAAACGGACTCCGCTCTGAACGCTGTATATAGCGATATCGACGGAAATTAAAACTTCAATGCGTGTCTTTAAATAAAAAAAACAGTCAAAAGGTTTTATCGCCATTTTAAAAATTAAAAAAGGAAACATCGTGGCAAGCATAATCTATATCAAATATAGTCAGGGCCGGATTTAGGGGTCTGGAGGCGTCGGGGCAACAAAGAAGTGGAGGACCCTTGGCCGAAAATTATTTTTGAAATAAAATGATCAATTCTTTTCAGTCGAGTTTTTCAATAAATAATTTATTGTGAAACCAAGTATAGATTCTCTTATTATTTAACGAACAATTAAATACAATCCGAAACAAGATTTATCTAAAATTAAAAGTTGTTTACTAATGTTTACTAGTTTGAATTTGAATTTTTTATTCTCAAGTCTATTGTGGGGGCTCTTTTTTGGAGGCTCCGGGGCTGTAGCCCCAGTTGCCCTCCCCTAAATCCGGCCCTGAATATAGTAGTCTACCAAAATATATTCATATTGGTAAACACCAACTAAATTTCATTTTATCTATAAGAATTTTATCTTTAAGAACGCGTTGTATTTCCTCGCTGAACAGTAACGCCTACTTAACCTTTTAGGGAGAAAATAATCAGCCCTCTGCGCCCAGCCCCAGCGATAAGTCTAGGACTTAAGGCTCAAAAACTTCGAAATATTTGAGGTTAGAGAAATTTATTCACATAAAGACAATACAATGCCATTTACATGAGAATATTATACAGTTACAAAATTATGGTAAAGTAATGGTCACCAAACAGTTAGCTTTATGTCTCAAACCGAAGGCGAAAAGTTATCAATTATGTGTTAAGATAATTGTGACTTAAAACTGCTACCTAATATCTTCTTCACTACATAGTATAAAAGTCGTCCCGCTGTCTGCTGTATGTATGCTTACATCTTTAAAACTACGCAACGTATCTTGATGCGGTTTTTGAAGTGAAACTTCTTTATCGGGGTTGGAAAAAAATTTAGTGTAACATTTTTGCGTTACGCGCCATCTTGTTGTTGTGGTTTTAATAGTTGACGCTAGATGGCGTTAGTTCCTTTGTGTGTTCATAACAATATATATATATATATATATGTTATATTAAAGTGATCTGCAAAATCAAAGGGTTTATTTTAATTCTAATTCTAAAATGTAAACAATATATTTCGTATTTCAGTTACCATAAGCCATTAATAACACAAATATATAATAACGACATCAATGATAGTAATAATTCTATTACAATTAATGAAATTCAATAATAATATTTGTAGTAATGACAGTGCTAGCTCTAATACTTCAGAGCACGACACTGTGTAGACTTCCTCTTCTCCAAAGGCAGGCACCGCCCACCGTGACCTGACTGCGCCTTCCACCGAAGACACAATCTGAAGCTGACCGATGATGGCTCTTCGAAGCCTCGATCGGCTCCTGGAACTTGCGGTTGCGACGTCGATCCAACGTCCGCAAGTTCGGTTTTCCAAAAAAACTTAACTCACAACACTCGCGCGCGAGTCGAATTTCTGCCTTCTACTCACTGGCTGACTATTCGGCAACGAAGGACGAAAGTTGCAAGTTTTTTAATCAACAATTTTTGCGGACCCTCATACTAATTACAACGGTCAAACCATAGTGTGTTTTTATTTACTACTAACGCCACCTATGTATTACAAATAAGAAACTAAATATTATACAAAGCTAAAATGAAATAATTGTAGAATTTGTATTTATGTCTATGATAATAAAAGCCTTTTATTAAACTTTATCTAATTTAACTTTATTTAACCAATTTCTGTAAAGTTGCATATAGTAAATTATTTTTTGAAAAATAACGTCATAAAAAAGTTTTACTTCTTACGAGAGTACGCTAGTACACGCACACATTTTTTTTATTAGATAGAGTGATTCAAGAGGTAGGTTTATTTGTATAATACGTTAAACCCGTGCGAAACCGAGACGGGTCGCTAGTAATATATACCTACATACTACGTCAATCATAATGTAGCAAATTAATTCGAAATAAGATATAAAAGCTCTCGCATTCTCTGAACATGACAGAGTGTTCATACAGTAAGCTAATTAATGTTTGCATTTTCATCAAGATTATTTTTTCCCGATGGTGATACATTCCTTACTCCTTGCTGTAATAAAAAACATTGATTTTGGGTGCATCTGCCTGCGTAACTTCAAGATATTTTCAACCGCTATTCAATAGTCATCGCTCACTCAATGAATATCCTGAGTACGGAAAATATACCCAGCGAAGAGAGATAAATAAAAAGAACGAACGAAAACGCAATAATATTTCTGCATTTTCCCACGTTTCGAAATAAGTTTTTTATCCACAATTTTCCTATTTGCAAACCGACAGTGTCTGGACAAACTTTCAACAATACAACGGAAAACTTTAACAAAGTTATACAGCGTTTGTGGCGAAATCGTAGCTAAGTGTAAATATATTTTCCATTTCATTCACCTCTCAAATTAGGACCATTTTAAATTATTTACTTTCTTTCATTTAATTTTTGAAATAGCTTTTAAAATAGTGTTAATACTTTACTACTTTCATTTGAAAAACTACTTAGAAGACTTAGTTTTATAAACAGTTTTTCAATTGCCAGTATTGGTTTATAAGGAGTAAAAATATTGGATGGTACTTGAAAGTCATAAAGTCGTGAAGTGGAAATACATCATCTGTGAAAATTTCAACTGTTTAACTATCACGGTTCATGAAATACAGCCTGGTGACAGACGGATAGACTGACAGTCATACAGACAGACAGATATCGGCTTAGTAATAGGGTCCCGTTTTACCCTTTGGGTACGGAACTCTAAGAAAGATAAGAAAATAATCGTCTACGTTTTTGTAAGAAAAAAATTACAAAAACAAAACATTAAGAAAGAGTTGACATTCTTGGTAGCAAAGTTCCATCAAGTTGATTTGTCACCCAAAACTTAAATAGCTTGTTTTAATTAAAACGATCTCTCTTGGCGTTTAATAATTTCCAACCAGTTCAGTTAAGATACTCTTGTCAGAATAATAGTGAGGAGTTTAGTTAACATTATGCTG